TAGGTCCATTTCCCTGTTATAACAGCTTGAAAATAATAGCTTTCTTCCTTAGCATTTATCACAAAGCAATTTTTATTCATTACTAGGATTAATTTTACTATTGTTTTGTCTCCCACATTACCATAAGCTCCATGAAAAAAAAAAGTTGAATGTTTCTGTTCATCATTATACAGACATATTGCCTAGCCTATTGCCTACACATGATAGGTAGCTGCTAACAAATATTTCTTAAATAAAGAATACATGAACATTTGTTTTAGTTTTATTTTTGATATTTCTTCCCCTTTATTTTGACTTATTTCTGATTCTTTTCATATTAGCTTGAATCATTGTGACTCTTTCTTCCTAATCAATCTAGACATTTCTTTTGTTAATATAGGCATTTAGAGTGATATAATTTCATCAAGCATTGCTTTGGAAGCCCTCTACAAATTTTGTTATAACTACATTTTTATTTCTATCCTCCAAAAAAACAGATATGATGTGCCTCCTCTACTCAAAACCATACAATTTTTTTCATTTTCTATAATATAGTGTCTAAAGTTCTTAGATCAGTGAACTCAGCTCCAAACTGCCTTATGATATATCATCTCATTTACATACCTTATACTCCGACCAGATTGAGCTACTTATTCTTCCCTTATACAATTGTTATACTTCTGTTTGTAAATACTTTTTCTCCTTGTAATCAGTACCTAGCAAAATGCTTTAAACATAGTAGCTCAATAAATGTTTGCAGTACAGTGCCTACCACTTTTCATGATCCAAGTTAAGATTTTTTAAATTTATGTTTTTTATAACCTTGAATTATATTTTTATTAGATAATTTCTAATTTTATTACATTGTCATCTGATGTTAGTTTTCAAAAATCAGTATATTTGTGTAATCTGTTTTAAATTGCATTAAATACTTCTTTGTAAGCTATACTTTTGTCAGTTTTCATCTAAGACTTAAACATACTTAAAAACATGGCTTTTCTCCCACCACCATTAGATTGTGAAATTCATGAAGGCAAGAACCATGTGTGTCTTTGCTGACTGTATTGTTAGCACCTGGGAGGCCTTGGTACCTTAACAGCAAATTTTAGAGTTCTCTTTAATTTTATTCTTTCCACTGCTAAACTAAGGAGGTGTTACGATTACCTTATGAGAAAACAATGATTAAAAATATACATAATAGGTGGGCTTTAATCGAATACAGAAACACCAAGTTCCTAGTATGAATCAAGATGTTCTAAAAAATGGGATACAAATGCAATTCCTGTCCTTGAGGTCCATGAAAACACACAGGTTAACAAATAACACAGGATACAGTGTACCAAAAGGAGGGTATATATAAAATGGCATGGAAATAAGAGTTGTGGAAATATTTAAATCAGGTAGAGGAAAGAGGTAGGTAAAGAAATTGTATAGCAGGAAGTAAAATCTTTTAAAGCATAAATAAACCAAAACCAGTCAAACTACAGGACTTTTTCAAGATCACAAAGCTAGAGAGAGCTCACAAAAGGAGATCCAACCCCTAATACTGGGCGCTTTCCATTATACCAGGCTTAACTACTCACACTTTTTGGAGCTCACCAAAGAACAACAGGACAGGATTTGAGAGCTACAATGTAAAACTGGAGGATTTATTCATCCTAACCCCATCTTCTATTAATATAAAACATCAGAGACTATACAAAATTGTGAAAAGTTAGCCAAGTACCGTGTATTTCTAATAATTTCTTAGCTGATTGGCTTATGAAAAGAACATGCCCTGAAAGTATTTCAGCTGAGATTTAAATGTCCCAGCCCAACCAATCTGACTGGGGATAAACAGAACAAACTATTAAGTTGTACTGGGCTTCCCAGGTGGTGCTAATGGTAAAGAACCTCCTGCCAATGCAGGAGACCTAAGAGGCATGGGTTTGATCCCTGGGCTGGGAAGATCCCCTGGAGTAGGGCATGGCAACCCACTCCAGTATTGTTGCCTAGAGAATCCCATGGACAGAGGAGCCTAGTGGGCTACAGTCCATAGGGTTGCAAAGAGTCGGACACAACTGAAGCAACATAACACACAGACATAAATATTTTTTTACTGTTAACAGAGGGTCTGAGGAAAGATCTCTTAAAAAGAAAGGTCCAAAAACAAGAATCTGCCAGCCATTATTCAGTACTTTCCAAGGAGGTAAGAGCCTAAATCTGTAGATCTAAATATTAAGGTTAATAGACATTCTTTAAGGGCAGGATGGTCTTGAGGCTGTTCCACATCTCTCAAGACTATGCAATTACATATGGCTACCAAGCAACAATTCCATGACTAAATTTGCAACACTCCCATTCCCCCAAACCCCCCACTCCCGCAACACATATTGATCCCACAGCTCTGGTTTGGGAACATTAGATTATTTAACCCTTCCTTCCCCTATTATAAATTAATAAGCTGGCATCTGAATTACACATCAATTTTGGTTGCTTGGTTAGCATGAAGTAACTCCAAGAAACTGCTCAGATCCAAAAGGAGTGTAGAAAAACATTTAAGAACCTGAAATACCTAAGATCATACTCTAAACCAGTAACTGAAAAAGTGATTCAGGTAACAAATGGATTTTATTTGACTTGCAGAGGAAGAAAAAGAGGAAGAGGGAATGGGAGGGGTGGGGGACGAAAGCCAAGAGTAAAGGAGAAAAGGAAGGAGGAGAGAGGTGAGGAGGAGGAGGTGCTCTAAAAAACCTGGATAGTTCATTTCCACAGCTTCACCTGAAAACCTTGAAGCTCTAGCAAACTGGCCTTGTATTATCACAACTAACTCTTAACTATGCCAGTTAAAGAGCTATAGTTCCATTTATACTGGATATTTGATTTCAAATTGATCATAGACCAATTACCCCTTTCTGTTCCTCTCATACGGAGGCCAAATGTTAATCGTCATTTATCATCCCACTGATACTGTTGTTTTCCTTATAAACTTCAAAGAACAAAGAATACCTTAGTGGATAAATGCAGGTTTTTTTTAAAAAGTAAGTACAGGGCTTTCCCTGACGGTCCAGTGGTTAAGAATCTGCCTTGCAATGCGAAGGACATGGGTTCCATCCCTGGTCAGGGAACTAAGATCCCACATGCCACAGAGCAACTCAGCCTGTGTACTCCAATTACTGAGCCCTTGCACCGCAAATAGAGAATCCGTGTGCCATAATGAAAGATCCCCCGTGACACAAGGAAGATCCCCCATGCCACAGCTCAGACCCAACACAGCCACATAATAAATAAATATATTTTTTTAAAAAAGTAAGTACAATCCAGTACTTACAACACATTAATAATGCAGTAAAACAAAGTGGAAAAAAAAAATCAAAGAAATCAGTTTACCTTAATCTGAGTCTGTTCGATTGACTTTTCCCATATCTGCTGATCATATGCTCCAATCTGAAATAAGAAGCAGGCTACTTAAATGATGGAAAGGAAATTCTTTTACTTAGGCCAAGTCTCACAAAAGTCATGAAACTATTTCAAGTGTCTATATGGTATCTGGGAAATGTCTGTGCTTTTCTGAGGCTAGGATAAATTATTATTTCCAAGGACTATTTCCTTCAAAATCCCAAACTTAGCTGGAAGCAATGTCCAAAATATTTCAAATTAAATATCTTAAAAGATATTTCCACTTAAAAAGTATCAGAAAACTAAACAGAAATAAAACAGGCAGCTCATTAAGATTGCTGACAATAACAGTCTGATCCGTGCAGATAAAAGTTTTATATCTAAAAAAACAGCAATTTGATGAGAAGCAAAATCTCAGAGCACTGCTGTGACACTGTGAATGTAGTCTGGAGACAGGAGGTTGAAAATCTCATGCGAGGACCTGGAACTGAATTCAAAAGACCTCGTGACCTTGTACACTAGGCTTTCCATTTGAGATACCATGTAAGAATACACTGCACTACCAAACTCATTAAAAACTAACATGGTAGGTATTCTTTGTGGGAGCTTTCTGCAGGAAGCATGCTTTACAAATAAAAATACACTGATATTACCTTCTTTTGGTACCACGATATAGCATCTCTCTCATTTGAGGCCATCTGTGTCTCCAGCCAGAGAACGGGATTTTCACTGAAAACGAAGGAGAACCAGTCGGTGAGTCCAGTAGTTTAAAGGTACTTTCCCGGTTTGGATAGAAGTCAAAAAACGCTTCTCTCAGCCTCTCCATAAGCTGCTGACCGTCTCGTTTTCCGGCTGTTTGCCAGGAAAAAAAAAAAAAAAAAAGGCATACCAAAAACAACAACATCAACAACAAAAAACCCTCTGGCGCAGCGGCGACCGGAGCCTCTCTCAGAGATTTTGTGCCGGTGTGTTTAGGGATGCAGGAAAGCAAGAGAGGAGGGGAGGTCGGTGGAGCTGACCCGCACCCTACCTCCTCCGCTCTCCAAGGTCCGGCACTCACCTGGTGACCAATGCCCCGCCGTCCGGCGGCCGGGACCTTCCTTTTCAGTGGCCCCGGCCCGCCCGTGAGGCAGGGGGCGAGGCGGCGGACCCTGCAGGCCGCATCTTCCCCCCGAGGCAGAGACGCCGGCCGGGCCGTTACCATGGAGACCACGGAGGCCGCCCCAACCTCGGAGGCAAACGGCTGCCCAGCGCCCAGACGAGGGCAGCCTGCTGCCAGAGAGCCGGCGCCCTCCAAGCCCGACCTATAGGGTCATCGGACTGACCCTAAAATAACCAAACAATGAACTGAGAAAGGAGGGCGATAAAAAGTGAAGGAGGTATTCGCTAGACTGCCAGTCGCTACGGCAACGGCCGAAGGTTTTGTGCCCGGCCGGAAAAGTCAAGTGCAGAGGTCCCAAGGGCCCGGGTGGCAGCTGCTTCGGGGCGGCGGGCACGCGTCCTCGCCAGGCCGGGCCGGGCCGGGCCGTGACTCAGCCGACCCAGACCTGGGAAGCAGCAGCAGCTCCGCAGACCACGGTGCAGCCGGGCTGCAGCTTCCGCTTTCCGGGGTTTGCTGTGAAGTTGGCTCCGCCCCCGGCCCGGGGCCTTCCCGCCGAGCCTCCGCCAGGCTTCGGGACCGAGGGGCCGGGGAGCTGCACCGCGGCGTTATGGGCCCCCGAGCAGCTTCCGCAGCTCACCCTTCAGGTCACTTCTTCAGAAATGACTTCCCAGCCATCCATCTAAAGGAGGTCGGTCCAGATATTTCAATAGTTCCCTGTTCGTTTCTTTGCAACACTCGGCTTTCCTTGTGTTTTATATTTCTTTGTGCTTCATTACTTACTGTCGGCCTTCCTCAATGGGCTGGGGGCACCATGAGGTCAGAAGCTAGGGCCTGGCACGAGCCTGGCCTACAGTTTCTTAACCTTTGCTGAAGGAACAAATGTTTTCATGAATTTACGCTGTTCTGCAACGAAAGACCTGGCAATCTGCGGCTTATTAAATCCCTACCTCTCCCGCCTCCCAACAGCTCTGGGACTTCAGCTTTCTGGGTGCTCAAGGGTAAATAAAGGAAGAGAGGGGCCAAGGCTTAGGACAGTTCCAAGGCACTTTCCCAATTAGGATAGGGCAGGTGGCGAGCGGAAGAACTGTTTGTAGGTTAAGAATTCAAGCAGGCTGACAGAGGTCAGGAGAAAGGACCGGTCAGATGAATATGTAAGAACAGGTTAAGGTTTTAAGCAAGCTGCTTTTCTTCTCCTATACTTTTTTTTTTTTTTTTGGCCATTAACGGAACACTGAACTCTAACGGTGATTCTAACCTCAATTGAAGCAGTGACCTTGCTTGGCTAGCAATGGTAGCATTTGGGTCCGTTTAAAGCTAATGAGACAATGATTAGACCAGTCTGGAAAGCCTAAGATGGGCAGTTGTAAATGTTTGCTGGCTAACTTCGGATTAGCTAGGAAATCGACATAAATGGAAGTTACTATTCCCGTTTCACGGATGAGGAAAACCTACCAAGATAAAAGTAACTCCCACAGAATAATTTAAAATCATTTTACCCAGGCTTATTTTTATATTCCACACATTGGCAGTGGTTTCCTTTCTGCTTTTGCTTCTTGACAGCTTTTCCTGTCCTTACAGCTAAAATTTCTGTTGGGTTTCAAGAGGAACGTCTGATTAAAGAAAAGCACGGGAAGAATGACTAATCAAAAAGTCATTTTATGTGTATCTAAATATTTGCTTTAAGACGTAAAATTAGACTAATTAAGCATTTTACTTTATTAGCACACAGAGAGGCTTTAGGGGGAGTTCTTGGAAGAACTGCAATCAGGTAAAACTAGGGAAAACTACTAAGTAGCAAATCGTCTTTCAGGAGCCCCATGCACAAAGCTACCGTGCTCCCCAAGGCTCTTACTGAACAGAGCATGGGCTTTGAGCCCACAAATGCCTGCTCCCACTATGTAACTTCAGGTAATTTATTCGGTCTAACAGCCTGTTTTCTCACCTGTATTACGGAGACTGCATTGTTACCTTCCTACTCAAGGCTGTGATGATTAAATGTTCAGTTCAGTTCAGTCGCTCAGTCGTGTCCGACTCTTTGCGACCCCATGAACCACAGCACTCCAGGCCTCCCTGTCCATCACCAACTCCCGGAGTCCACCCAAGCCCATGTCCATTGAATCGGTGATGCCATCCAACCATCTCATCCTGTCGTCCCCATCTCCTCAACAGTTACTCAAAAAACATCAGTTCCTTTCCTTTTCCTTTCCTAATCATAAGCAAGGGCTATCAGTGCTTAGGAAAGGTACCTTAATTAATGAGAAGTTCACACAAATAAGAACTGATGAGGAAAAAAACCACTGAGTTACGTCACTTAATACAGCAATGAAATCTGAAAAGTCTGTAAGAGCATGTTCATTAACTAACACTGCATGCATGTACTTTCAAAAATACCAACATCTCCAGATCAAAAATTTAAGACTGTTCTCTCAGATATAGAACAATTTATGTGGTTAAGAGGGTTAACTGCCACAATGCCAAGCATAGTTTTCCTTCTTCCCCACAAACTAACTGCCTCTTGATATGGATGAAATTTTACCCTGGCATCTATAACCTTTTCCTTAGAAAAGTCAAGATTTTCTAAAATAGTACAAAATAAGAGAAAACAGAGAAGAGAGGGATAAATACTTTAAAAACAGGTTCCGGGGTAGCTAGAATTCATATGTGCTATTCATTTTGTCATGAAACATCAGTAAAGGACAAATCAGACTTTGTTTATTAAAAAAATACTTTACAGGAAAAAAAAAACTATGCATTCCATTGTCCTATTTTACAAAGAAATAGCTTAACAATTTAACACACTTAGACAGCTACAAAAAAGCACTGTGTTAAAAGGATTATTATTCACACAAATTTAGATTTAAGACTATTCATTAAAAACCTTTTTAAAACACTCATTAATGTCAATAAACAAACTAAGGCCACAAAACGCAAATAGTCCGCCAGGCAAATTATACATTTCATCTATATGCAAAGACCTCTTAGATAAATTAAAGCCACAGGAAAAAAAAGTCTTAGCTGCCAATCAAAATGGAGTTTAGTCACAGAAAACACTATTACATGAAAATTTACAACATGTGATAGAAGTAGTACATAAGTTTTTTAGAGAGAATTGAAAAGTGCTATATTAAGAGACACTGGTCTCAACTACATGCACAAGTGAATCCTAAAAGATGTATGAAGAAAATGGAAGGCCATAATATTTATGGAGAGATACTTGCTTTTAAAGCAACAAACTTTCAGGATGAGGATAGGTCCATGTGCTAAAGAAAAACATCTGTCTTGTACATTTCCTCTACTTACTGCATGACCAATAAATACAGCGACAATCTGTTTTTAAAAAATTAATACTTAGCAGAAATATGAACCTCTGGCATGTACTAGTGAAAGTTTCTTTTTATAAAACTTGTAGCAATGATAAAAAGACACAAACTCAATTATTCTAAAGATATAAATGCAAATAAATTTTAATGGCAAATACAGATGAAAATAAATGATCTAATAATGAGCTAATAATAATTAAAAATATATGCACTAAGGATTTTTTGAATGTTAGTCTTGTTCCTAAATTAGCTTTCATTCTAGACAGTATTTATAGAGGGAAAAACTATAAGCAAAAATCTCTCCAGTCACTAAGCATGAACTTTTTACCTATTAAGACTGATGCAAAACATCTTTTCCTAAGGTTTAGTAAATAATTTGATAAGCTCCTTTTTCCCCCTACAAGAGCTTTTAATATTAGTCGTTATTCCAGCTGTCTCTAAGGGGAAAGGGGACCTTCCAGATGTCTTTTATTTCAAAGTATTAATAATAAAGTACCAGTGAAACAAATCCTAAGTATTAAATTAGCAAATTAAAAGTACAGTTAAGCCGAGGAATTCATTTTGTAAAGAGTTAAAACTTTGGAGGGGAAAGCAAATCTGTCATTTTTATTATTATTGCTTTATGAATTTGGGCTACTTCTTTGAATCATAATCCTACTCCGAGTACATCCTGGTAATTACAGTATAACTTCTGGGGTAAGGGGAAGACTTTTCTCCTGATTAGTTGAATACCATAAAATCATTCTAATTACTAAGTTAGGAATACTCATTTACTGGATCCTTTTCCATAAGCACATTTAAAAAATATCCCTCTGCTCCACAAAATACTAAAACTTATAGCCACATTCTGCAAGTAATCTCAAAAGAGTTGGCACAACGGATAATATACCAAAAAGGAAGATCAGCTTAAACTTCAGTTACAACTTCACTGCCATCACTACTTTACAAATCAGAAGACGCCAGATTGTTCCATGCCTCACTCCACCAAACCAAATAATTTAATGATTTTAGAAAAGTTGCTATCATTTGTATCGCTAAACTAGGATACAGCTTTAAAGCAGTAACAAACTCAAAACTTGCGCTTTTATATTCATCAGTCTTTCAAGCATGCTATTAAAATCTAATACTCACATAGGACATTCAGTTTCCAGATACATTACTAGCTAAATGTTTCTCTCTCGGTGCTATTGCAGTTCTAACATACAAGGAATTTATTAGTACATGATTTTAAACATCGCTATACCCTTTCAGTATGTTATATTGGAGTTGAGGGTAGAACGCTTTATAAAAAGAAAGGGGGCTCTGTCTTTGATTGAAGGCCTTTGCGGATCCGCTGGCTCCTGATTACACACAGTGCTGGCTGTCAGGAGACAGTCTCCTTGTTTATTAGCGATGACCAGCTTAGATGACAGATGGCATTTGCTGGATGGCAAGTGGGAGATGGGGAAATCGGATCTTGGAAGACAAGAAAAAAATAAAAAGTTTTTGCTTTAACAATCTTGTTCTTCATGATTATTTTGAAAAGCAAATGTTGCCTGAGAAGAATTTTACTTTGCACAGCCTGGTAAAGCTCTATGAAATTCTTCTGGACAGAAAAACAAAAACAAGAAATAACCCAAACCCACATACTCAGTGATTCACCCCCTCCCCCTAAAATAACAAAAAACACCCTCAAAGGCAGGTCCCTTAAAAACTAGTCTTGGTAAACTAGAATTTACCCTAAAATTTATACCCAGGATTTCGAAACACCCCTGCAATAATCACATTACTCTTCATACCATTCTAATTACCTTATTTACAAAGATAACTAAAACCAACATCACTTCCAATTCATAAATGGTTTACACTGAAATGTTTCTCTATTTGTCTTCATCCTTTGTAACAGAGAATACATACATATACATATATATAAGGAATAATACAGATTCTAACTAATCACTGCAGTATTTGCTGATGGTTACTTTTCTATCGGTTTACACAGTGACCTCTATACTTTGCTAATATGCGTTTAACTACACAACAATATTGCACAAAGTAATATTTATATAAGATTTAACCTATTTCAGAATATTTTAGAGAAAATTCATATTTGTATTTCAAAAGATGCAGCTATGTTTCCATGGTGACAGACATAATAAAGCAGCATCTTTTTTTGCCTATGTTAATGTAAATATTCCAAATCTCACTCTCCAGGAAAAAAAAAAAATCTCCAAATTGCACTATAACCAGGTAGATACAAGAATCTGGCCTTAGGTGTGGGGAGTACTCTTCCTTTAATAAGCAAAAGGCCTATCATATTATTAACTACGAGAAAGTGAAATGTGTATCACATTAACATTCTAAAATAACAGAAAGTTAAGACTACACT